GTACTGCGCCGACATGGATGCAATATAAGCATAGCTGCTTAGCTGGTTGCTTTTCAGGATCAAACTGTAAAGTTTGGCCCCCCTACCCGGGGGGAGTGCGGGTGTGTGAAGACTCTGGAGTCATGAGTGTCTTTTGATCGGTGTCTCATCTGACAGGAATAAGCGCAGTAGGACTTGATTTTGTTGGTTGGGTTACACTCTTCTCGCCCTTGGAGTCAAAGGGAGCCTTTTGGCTTATCTTGTCGCAGTGCGTTGTGACTACACGAAGCTAGTCCGAACACGGGATACCAGGATTGGCCATCCTAGCCTACCTGCGCGCTTTCTCTGCGTGCTTTCTGAAAATGGCAAGCGCCCAAGCCAAGAACTGCAGCAAGCTTGCGTTTGTTGGTTCGATTGAGGAAATTTGGCATTCATGCGACTTTGAACCTGCTAAGTCGAAGATTCAGGATGCTTGGACCCTTTGCACTACTTAGGCGTTCATTCATATAGAGGTTCCGGCGCTGGGTGCAATCAGACCGTACGTACTCTTATCTCGAGTGTGTGTTTTACATGATTCAGACCGCCGGGACGGGATCAGAAAATCGGACAAAATTGGGCCGGTCACAAATCGAAGACGAAGGGATGATCAGGTCACCCCCTCGTGAGTTTGTATCATCTACCAAATCCTGTGGATCGTGTGGATCAGGTCGAGAACGAAACGCATGGATGCACGCCCGGATGCGAGGCGATGGGCGTGTCGCTTTTGCGATGCGATGGCAGTCCTCCTGATGGCGGTTGGGATCATGGATGAACTTCCAGTGCAGCTGTTTCGCCTGTTTTCAAGTGGGCGGTCGAGCCAAGGGGTGAGCCTTTGAGAAAAAGAAACGAGCTTAGATCAGTTTACTCCCCTCAAATGTGGTGGTTCGTTGCCCAAGGACACAAGGAGATCACTGAGGAGATTCGTCAACTTATATACAGTGTGTGTGTATATATATATATTATATATATATGTATACACTGCATTCATTCCAAGGGAAGGAGGTGCAGTAGTTGAGGTTCTTCAGCACCTGCTCCAAATGAAACCCAACTCAATTTGGGACCGGAAGCTGATCACACTCCATGGCTGTGGAATACCATCGCTTGATGGCAATACCTCAGGCCGGACATGTTGCTCTTGGTTTGCCGTCTCGGAACGGATTTTGGTAATGGAAGATAGTAAGGCAGAACTTCTGCAAGCACCTGTTGCATGCGGGCCTCCCTATCTGAAGGGCATTCGTTCCGGCGCACAGAAAAAAAAGGTTTCCTTGTACCACACCGGCCAACTCGCCCATCCATTTTGGCACGGCGGCCACCCATGGCCACGCCTTCTCTGAGTCAAACTTCTGTCGGCACTCAGCACCTCCGGGCTAGTGGTCCAGTGCAAATAGCAGAGCAATGCATGCAGAAGAAGCACATGGCATGCAGAAGAAGCTTCAAAACATCCGAAAATGTGTGAAAGAGGATCAGACCGACCGTTATTCATGTGAGTTGATGTTAAGTAGCTTTAGGACATTTTAGGCTAAGACTCACAAGACTTCACCCATTCCATTCACTGAACTTGTTGCTCCAAGATTTCCACATCCAAGGTCATCTCAGCCTGAGCGTTTATACTGTTTATATATAGGCCAAATTACACCAGCATAGACCCAGATAGCTAGGCAGAATCCCACGACCTGTTGACATGCGACTGGCTGGAGCAAGAATGTACGCAGCCTGCACGGCCAGCTTGTGGCACCTCCCCGTCTTAAACGCACGCTCAGCCAGCTCACAGCACCAGCACCCAGGACCACAACACCAGCACCAGCACCGACACCCTTTCGAAAGCGCAGCCAGCTCATTCTTATTTGCAGCAAGAACCCCATAAATATCCCTATTTAGGGAATAACAACGTATGATCTTGCGAATATATGTTTATGCAGACAAAAGTATGCGTGCAAACAGCAAAGCCCGTAAGTGTCATTGGCCCAAGGCCAAGCAGTATCCAGCGCCACTATTGACTTTGTCGCATTCTTGAAGAAACGATCTGCAGGACGATAAGGCCGTATGACCTTGCGCGTAAAAGTTTATGCGCACAAAAGTATGCGCACAAACGGCACAGCCCGTAGGCTTCACTCGCCCAAGGCCAAGCAGTATCCAGCACGACTATTGTGTGTGTAGCATGCTGAAACATGCTGGAACCATGGTCGGTTGAGAGCCTGACGTTGCGCATAGAACATTATACGTAGAAAAGTATGCGCGCAAACAGTACAGCCCTTGACACAGCTGCCGGCCAAAACAGAACTGTAAATACCACACAGCGCTAATAGACAAAGAACGCTCAAGCGACAACACCGTATGATGTTGCGTGCATAAGTTCATGCGGCCCATGACTGCTGGCACTTCATTGTCAGAAGCGGCGCTTGGTCGCCCTTCACGGTTTGTTACCCTTCACTGTCAGAAGCGGCGGTTGTTATCACTTCACTGTCAGAAGCGGGAAACACCACCGGCACCCGGCACCAGCACCAGCAACCTGTCTCCACCACGTGCACAGCCAGCTCACAGCACCAGCACCAGCACCGGCGCCCGGCACCCAGCACCAGCACCAGCAACCTGTCTCCACCACGAGCACCGGCAACCGGCACCAGCACCAGCACCAGCAACCTGAGCAACCTGTCCCCACCACGTGCACAGCCAGCCCACCAGCACCGGCACCCGGACCAGCACCAGCAACCTGTCTCCACCACATGCACAGCCAGCTCACAGCACCAGCACCAACACCGGCACCCAGCACCAGCAACCTGTCTCGAAAGCGCGCACGGGCAACTCATTGTTATTTGACGTAAGAACCCCATAGCTTCGCTATCTGGGGAAAAAGAACCAAAACGAAGCAAAACGGTCTGGGCACATTGAAACTTGGCGTCCACCTTGATCCCCACCTCGGACACCGACGAGGTTTTCCGTCTCCATCCGGATGTCGGGAGAAAAAGAAGCCACCGATGGGGTGATTTTTTGAGGTTCGACCGATACCAACGATACCAACCGGGGAGGGCCACAGGGTGACGGGTGAAGCCACATGCTACCGACTTCCTTTCGCTGGAAACATCAATCAAACAGCTTGGTCTTGGTCTCATCGGTTTTAAGAGCCGACCAAGCTGCTGGCGAGGTGGGTCCCACTCCCCTGGTTTTCAAGGGCACGCTCCGACGAACATATCACATCGGAAGTGGAGTTCATCCCCTGTTCGTAAAGGATTCCTTGTAGTCGAAGGGATCATGCCATCCACTTCCATCTTCGTGAGTCAGAAGGCCTTCGAGTGTAACCCGGACATGTCGTCGAAGGCCAAGAGCTCTTTAAGTACCGCTGTCGACCAGAACTACTTAGATAGCAAATATGGGCAAGTGGTCCATCTATCACTCAAACTGCATCCTCTGGCAATAAACCTGGGGCACCAAAACAACATCAGTCACTGGTGGACGAAATCGAAAAGAAGACCGATGTCGTTGGACATGTTGGAGACCCTGTCCACTGTAGGGGGTGATGATCAAAGGATCTGAACATGTTTGACCGGTTTGTGGACAGAAGATTCAGAAGTATTATGTGGAGACGACATTGATCTTGAGACCAAGCAAAGGAAAGTCATGAGTCATGAGGCCCTGAAACTAGATGCTCAGCATGCACCCATGCAGTAGCATGGAAGTCCCTGAGGTCTTCTTCACCCGTGTGTCTGTTTGAAGAATGAGGTATCCAATACAGAACCAACTTCACCCAACTATGGTTGACCACCTTGACCCAAACTGCCAAACTCAAATCGAAATTCCAAAAGTCTATATAGTCTTATCCGCTCCTTTCTCATCGATCCCTCCGAGGTCCAGACTGCGGTGTGAATCCTCATGCCCACCCCCCCCGGGCGTTCGGGCGTTCTGGGTGGTGCCATCGCCACTCTTGGCCGCTGCGCTGATTTCCATGGTCTCCGGCATCGCAAGGATCACCTGTGGTGGGCTCTTCCACGGATTTCGGCGGTCGTGCCAGGTGTTGACTTGGTGACGAGCAGCTAGTGTCCACTGACCATCTTCAACCAAAAAAGAACAACTGAGCGACCGGCAAAACTAGGGGTCGTTTGGTGGTAGGTTTAGAGCATGGTATCGTTTTTGGGATTGGTATCGTTTTTTCAATCCATATGCAATTTTTTTGGGGGAGGTATCGTCTAAATGTAAATTGCTCTGGAAGGTGATCTTGCAAATGATGACTAGTAGTCGTCGTGCACTAGTACTAGTACTAGTGCTACTAGTAGTAGTAGTAGTAGTAGTAGTAGTAGTAGTAGTAGTAGTAGTA